GGCGGGAGCGCCGCTGCACTCCCAAGCAGCGCACTCTCCAGTGCGCCACCGGGCCGGCCCCTCCTCCCTGTTTTCTATAATATCTTGATTTGTATTGCCAACTGTGAGGTAGTATTTGTGGGATGCCACCTCCAAGCTAAGCAAGAAATTATATTTGAAATATGATAAAAAGTGTTGTTTCAAATCAGTGAGGGAAGAAAACATTCATTCATTCATTCATTCATTCAACTGATATTTATTGGGTACCTGCTATGTGTTGGGTGACAGAGATATAATGGTCAGTGGGACAATATAGCCCCTGCCCCCATGGAGCTGAGTGGGAGTTCAATAAAAGCTGCAGGTATAAATGGCAAAAACAACTAAATCAATAAAATAGAAAGACAAAAATATTAATGACGTATAATGGACGGTTTGATTTCTGCAGAAACAGCCAGACTTTACATCCCTTGAAAATGTGAAGGTCTTAAATATGCATTGTCTGGCAAATGTATGGTTCCTGCAGGCATAGTTATGCTGTGGTCCCTTAAAATCAATGTAGCTTCATTTTGTTGAAACTGGAAAGATTAATTCACTAAAGGATGTGAAAGCTGGTAGCATATGAGTAGAGATATGAGAAATTATCTTGGATACTTTGTTATGAGTGATAGAAATCTGTTTCTCAGTAGCTCTACAGGGCTCTGTGAAGAGGTGCCACACACAAAAAAGATAAGTGACCAACAAAAATTACAAGAAGGCTAAGAAACACAGAGACTCCAAGGGAACAGTTAACATAAGATGGTTAAAAACATTGTGCTTTCACATACTCAGATTCATACTCTTCAAATATTTGAGGAGAGAAACTTTTCATGAATGTAAACAACTGAGCAATATAGACCTTGGATAGGAAAAAAAAAAAGTTGCCATAACAGTTTAGAGCATTTTTGAGAGAGTTCCTAGTTTCTAAGATTAATATTTTTGCGGGCTTATTTTTTTCTTGAAATTACAATTACACATTCCTAGCAGTGTTTTCTTTTCTTTCTTTTCGTTACTGTGGCTGGCCAGTAACAGGGATTGAACCCTGGACCTTGGTATTATCAACACCACCCTCTAACCAACAGAACTAACTGGCCACCTCCTAGTAGTTCTATTTATACTGTTTTTTTGGGGGGTTTTTTTTGTCTTTTTTGTGACCAGCTGCACCGCGCTCAGCCAGTGAGCGCACTGGCCATCCGTATATAGGATCTGAACCCGCGGCGGGAGCA